ACATATAATATTCTAAAATTCCATGCTGAATTCAATGACCACTTTTATCTCGGTCAAGAAGCAAAAAAAATGAATACCACAGCTTTACACTCTCTGACATTCTCCCTCACATAAACATAAAGCAGTACACTGCAGTGATGCTGCTCTGCATTTGCATTGCTTAATACAGCCTTTAGTACATTTGCAGGCAATAAGTTCATAGCAGGCTTTTGATGCTTCAGCAAGTGAGGTCCAGTATGGTTCAAAACTGCCATCCTCTGTTTTGACCCACCCCCGTTTAGATGGACAAGGCAAATGAGGAGAAGGCAGTAATACTTGGCCCCAAACATGACCACCCTGATATGTTGCCCTTTTCACATGCTGTTCAAGAGATGCACTTGTTGGTTGAATTCGGCGAACACTGTGCCTTTTTGAAAAAAGCTTTTTTCTAGCTATGTTCACACTCTCACATGTACTGGTTCTGTCATACAGCAGAACTGTCAATTGTCTCTGATATATGTGAGGGAATATCAGATGGAGCACAGCTCAATTCCAACAATGCCTGAGTAAATTCGGGGAGGACTTTCCATGTTGCCCATGCTGTTTTTTTCCTGTAACCAACAAAGCTAGACACTGAGTCACAACCAGTCAAAGCATGAAACATTGGAAGTGCACGTGCCTTCTCAGGACCAAGGCTGTGTGCAATTTCATGTGCTGCAATGTGCCTGAAATTCTTTCCTGTTCCAATTGCAACCCAGAGTTCAGTGTCACCAAGGCTTTGCACCACAGAAACTGCCAGGACTACGACATCCGTATCAACAGTTCGAATCATGATCTTTTGATGGCCATTCTGCGCAGCATGAGATGCATGCAAAATCATCCTGCTATCTGCTTCCTCATGGTTGCATGGGGATAAAGCACATATGTCAGGCAGCTGTGGCTTGCAGAGGATGTTACTGCCCTGAGTAATGACAAGTTGCTTCTTTCCATTGTCAAATGACTTAATCAAGATGTCTGAAAGGTATTGAAAAAGATCTGTTTTATTTTGATCCACCCTTAGAAAGCTCTGCCAGTTCACTGGCAGAGCTGCTTCAGCACATACACGCCTGCGGATACCTTTACCACGCTTTGCTCTTGCAGTGCTTTTGATGGAGTCGGCAAAGTACCTGTCCCATACCAAGTCAACACGAGTTGATTTTTGATGACACGAGGAAATATAAGGAAGGAACACTTGATGGGCATACTCTGTAAATCTTCTTGAGCCAGTAGGCTTGAGCATTTGTATGATTGCTGCTCCATCAAGGACAACACAGGAGACATTGGGAGCCTCTGACTTGGGAGGCAAACTACCAAGTAAAAATTATGCGTATATGCACACAATTTCATATTAAATGTTTAAATATAGATTTTAAAAGTACATCATTTCTGATAGATATCATAATAACCTCCTTTCTTTTTTGTTTAAAAATGAACTGGATTGATTAATGATCAAATGTGCAACTTGTTTAATTGTTAATTTCTGTCATCTGTCATTATGAAATCCATATTTGGTGGCTATTTTACATTTTTTTTTAAAACATCTTATATTTTAAAGTTTAAAGACCTTCTATGTGAAAGTGTGCTCATAATTATATATATTTATGGTGAAATGTGCTATTGCATTTCATGTTTCTGGCAGCTTTTAATCCATTTTCCCATTACGAAATCCATATTTGGCGGCTATTTTGAATTTTTTAATAAACATATCTTATATTTTAAAGTTTAAAGACCTATGTGAAAGTGTGCTCATATTTATATGAATTTATGGTGAAATGTGCTATTGCATTTTATGTTTCTGGCAGCTTTTAATCCATTTTCCCATTACAAAATCCATATTCGGTGGCCATTTTGAAAAATGGCCGCCATGGCCCCCAGGGGTCAAATTTTGAGCGCCTACGGTCCCAAATCTGATCAGACCCCCTTTCTGAGCCATCATACCAAATTTCATGCTTTTATCGCAAAGTGATCGATTCTGGTGAAAATCTGCGCTTAGCCGCCCCACTAATATAAATAGTCTCTCTCTCTGTCTGAATTCAACTGCAATATATTAATATTAATTTAGAAATGAAAATGCAACACTGTTTCTATTGTGGAGTGTGTGTGGTTGATAAGTGGTTTACAGCCTCACCTGTCCTGAGTTAGACTGATTAGACTCGAGCCCCAGCGAAACGGATGTAGTAGGACATCCTGGTATTTTTGGCATACTGCATTTGACATACTATGTATTGGGACATACTAAATCTTTTTCTGGCATACTAAGTAGTATGGTAGTATAGGTATTGGAACGCAGCACTGGTTCATCCTGGGTGCCATGATTTCTCATGCAGCACAGGTGTACAGCCCCACCCAGCCCAGAGTCTAATCAGTCTGACTTGGGCCAGATGAGGCTGTAAACCAGCTACCAACCACACACAACCATACACCTATATTCCTATATCAATAATTTCCTGCTGTTTAAAATGTGTGGTCCTGTTTAGGTATGCCTCAATGTATTTGTATGGAACAATGTGTAATTGACAATGTGTAAGATGTACTAATATATTTATTATGCATATTTATCATGTATGCCCAGTGTCTTCAGCTGCAAAAATACCTCGGGGGGGGGGGGGGGATAAGAAAGCAAACAACAAAAAGATGGGGTCAAACCAGGGTTAATATTGGTGAATTTGAGAGGTGGAGAGGAATGGAGAATTGTTACAACTGAGTTTTGACATGACTCTAGCGTGTTGGCTTTAGCTGCTTGTTGTTATTGAGTGAGTGCTGGCAACCGCAGCAAGTGGGAGGGGCCACGTTAAGACAAAAGCCGCTGCAATGTTGTTTTTTAAATTCTGCTGAGTAAATGCTAGCAACCAATAGGGGCATCAATCTTACACATTGTCACACAAAATTCATATTAAAACCTTAATTCTCCCTTAAGTTTCCCTCTTTCTCTGTCCCTATTTCAGTTGGGCAGAGGGATGAAGATTGAAAAATGCATAAAATAGCATTAAATAATGACTCATCCAACATAAACAAAGATAATAATGGACTAAAATCAATGTGACGAAACAAAATAAAATGAGTGAACTGAATAAAACAAAATTAAAATCAATAGATCTTAATCTTAAACTTTTCAACGTCTCTCTCTCTTAGTCTCTTAGTCTGTGGTCCAGCCGCGCCATGTCATCGGTGACATCCTTCCTGTCCGAGGACCAGTTTACCTGCTCCATCTGCCTAGATGTGTTTACCAACCCTGTGTCCACGCCCTGTGGACACAGCTTCTGCCAAGCCTGCATCACCTGCTACTGGGACAAGGCCGGCAGCAAGGCCTGCTTCTGCCCCATCTGCAAGGAGTCCTTTCGCAAACGGCCCGAGCTCCACATCAACCGCACCCTCAGGGATATCACAGAGCAGTTCAAGCTGCTGGCTGAGGTCAGGCCGCGGGCAGAGACCAGCAAAGGGGTGGTGGGAGTTGGAGAATCGTCCAGCGAGGGCAGAGAAGAGGGGTTGCACAACGCAAAACCTCATCAGCCTCATCGAAAATCGAGGCAAATGCCAGGAAGCGTGATGGCCGAGATGAGGCTGCGGCTTCAGCATGCACAGAGCAGCGAAGAGGCATCGCATCCCTCTGGCAGGTATATGCATGGTGCAGAAGGTGTAACACATTGTTATATCAAGGTATTAGGTTACAAACGGTCAACTTAACCCCTCCTTCACATGATCTTATCTATACTGCTTTACATTCTGATAAGCAAGTCTCATCACCAGCTCAACGGATGAAAAAACAAACATTCCACCACTAAAACTGACTTTGTGATAGCATCAAATTGTTACACCGTTAGTAGGACTTAGGTTTGTTATCTCCTCCTCTCTACCCAAGGCACTCGCAAAGCGAACCAGAGGACTCGTCTGCAAACGTGCCGCTTTGCCCCATCCACCAGCGAGGGCTGGAGTACTTCTGTCACAACCACCAGGCCTGCGTGTGCAGCTCCTGTCTGGAGACAGCAGAGCACCAGGGACACAGCGCTGTCCCGGCCAAAAGGGAGTGGCAGATCAAGAAGGTGCGTGAAGGTAGAGGGTAGGGGTTCAAATCTCAAGTTAAACCTGTGAAATGGCGTCATAACAGGAGAATTACAGACTAATGCAAATCATTATTTCTAATCGCTTCAAAGTAGTGCCAGGTAATATCCTTGATGATGGCTGACAAATGGCCAGTGCCTTGCCATATGTGTGTTCATGTCTCATGTGGTCTCCACACGTACGTCACTTCAGACTAGCTTTAGACTAACTGTACACACTTTCCTCTTTTTGCAGACCCAGTTGGAGATTACAGAAGTGGAGTTAAAGGAACTTGTCAAACTGAGGGAGAAAAAAATGGAGGAGATACAGAGAACACTGAGGGATATGAAGGTAATCAACTTTGCTAGCAATTTCTACATCTTATCAATGACCAGACTTTGTGGAATCGAATTGTGAAACAATTATGTTGATGTTTGCTTCATGTTCCACAGTATTGCATTTTTTGTGTGATATCTTCCAGTGTCATGGCGTTGATATGGCAGAATTACTTATGAGTTGTAATGATCAGCAAGACGCTCTCTTGCTTGCCATGAAATCCACATTGTCCTTCCTCAACCTGAGGTTTGACTCTCAGCCAAGTGTGCATTAGTGATTCAGGGGAGGGCTGAGTAGTGTGGTTATCCAGTAGTTGGAACACACCCCCCTGTCCCGTTTCCTGGAGATGGCAACCACCACCATAGTCTGCTGGTCAAAAGGTACTGCCCTGGATGTCTATGCTAGGTTGGATGTAAACCAACCTCTAGAGCATTCAGCATCTCTAGATGGATCTCACCCACCCACCCTGTTGCTTGCTACTCCAAACCCCTCTCAGATTGGAGGTACAAATGTATCTTTCCAGACAGAGTCTTCTACCAGGCATTCTCAGCAACCCCTCACTCTGTGCTTGGGCTTAAAGGGGCATGTCTGGCAGTTGTGCTTTGGCGGCAGTGGCTCAGGAGGTATAGCAGGTCGTCTGGCAAACGAAAGGTTGCTGGTTCAATCCCCGGCTCCTCCGAGCTAAGTGTCAAGGTGTCCCTGAGCAAGACACCTAACCCTAACTTCTCCCGACGAGCTGGCTGGCACCTTGCATGGCTGACACTGCCATCAGTGTATGAATGTATGAGGCAATATTGTAAAGTGCTCTGAGGGGCCACTGGTCTGAAAAGCCCTATATAAATACAGTCCATTTACCATTTATTCCCTGCCAACTGATTCAATGATCACAGGAGTCACTTTTGGGCCATGTTTGTCTGGATCTTCACCCCAGACCTGGCATTGATCTAGTGATAATAAGAACTCACTTTGATAGCCTCGCAAAGCCAGCCTAAATTTTGCAGGCTCACTTCCAGTTTTGCCTCGATATTAGTCTGGAACCAGGCTGACACAGGCAGCTTGGCTCCAAATAAAATTAATTTGGCCAATCAGCGAACCCCAGCTAGTGATGATAGATGATTACACCAGGCAGTGTCATTTTGGAGGTAATGTAATCATATTTATGCTGCTTTGGAATTTGTTTTATTGGAACCCAAGATGTTTTTACTTCAATGAAAATGGTAGCGGTAACATTCGCTGATGTTTCATTCGGTGTTTACTTTGGAAATATGGCACTCTGGATCTGACTGGCTGAAGCTAATGACGACGCCCCTCAACAAATGCTGCGGATGACAGACTTTGCAGATCTAATGAGCAAAGTGAATATGGTCTGGCTGTGCGAGGCTACAATTCTGCCATATCAAGGTCATGATACTAGAAGGATATCATATTTTCCTGTGTTCCAACTCTTTACCCTCTTGCAGATGATCAAGGGAGTTTGGGAGTTGGGTTAAGCCAGTCTATATGTGTGGATCTGGGTATGGGGTTATGACTATCATCTGTATATCAGTAACTTATTCTTAAACATGAGGGTATAAGGGATGGTAAACTTGACCACCAGTAAGACATAGTGTCTGCTGTAATGCAGGTTTTATATCAGACCGTGGTGGCAAACAAGGAGCTGAGGTGTAAGGCTACATGGCCACTATATCTCTATAAAGAATAAGATTGCAGATAAGGGGGGGCACTTAGTTTCTCTTTAGAGTAGCTGTGCTTGATCTCTGTATGTATCATTATATGTTTAATTGGTACCTATGTACCCATGATAAATATCAATCTATCTCTCTATCTCTTATACATTGGTATGCATGTGGTGGTAGAAACTTTCATCCTCCTCTTCTCCATGTTGGATCCAGGTCTGTGCAGAGAGAGAGACGTCGGGCAGTGTACAGGTGTTTTCCCAGTTAGTGTCCTATGTGGAACGTTGTCAGTCAGAAATCTTGGAGGTAAATACCTTTTCTTCATACAAGTGCACAACTTTAAAGTTCCTGTTGTTTTTCCACGTACAGTAGTATATACCCACCAGGCTTCCCTCTGGGCCCTGCCTCGCTAGTGCCATCTTGTGGCCCTCCTCTTTTGAAAATCTCTGCTCTTTAAGTGACTAAAGCCGAAGTGTGTCCTGGGTTGTTATTAGGCAATAGAAATGTCCTGCCATTCAGCTGAGCACAGAGCCCAGTGTCTGCTGCACGAGCTGGGGTTGGAGATAGCCGAGCTGAAGAAGAGGAGCGCAGCGCTGAGTCAGCTGGCACAAACGGACGACTACATACACTTCCTTAAAGTACGGCTAGGGGTGGGGTGTGATGGAGCAAATAGAATTGGGAAATGTACAAAAGAAAAACAAGCAAGACAGATGGATCCATTGATCAATCAAACACATGAACACATATCATGAACTCTGACTTCCCATACCCACCTTACCTTGCATGACATGTCAATATTTCATTATGTCATATTTCAAGTAATTATGTGCAATATCACAGCATTTGAGCCATACATACATGCATTACATATATTTGTATGTATATTTTATGAACATCTATGTGTATATTTATGCATCTTTCTTTCTATATTTCATGTTTATTGGTAACTGTATTTTGTGTTTATATTATAATATTCTTGTGGCCATCATAAGCAGAGAAATTGTGACAATTGCCTTCGGAATTAAATAAAGAATCAGCATCTGACAATACAAAAAAATGACATTCTCTTTTTCCCCCTGCTCCCTCCCTTTAGACGTTCCCCATGCTCACGAGCCTACCGCAGACCAAGAACTGGTCGGAGACCCATTTGAACTCTGAGGTGAGGTCTGGGACTTCACTCCAGACCATCACTCACATGATGGAGCGCTTCCGGGAAGAGCTCAGGAAACTACCGGAGCTGGTGTTTCAGACCGATTCGAACATAGGTGGTCACCCAGCCTTCACAGATGCAATGTTTCAAGAAAAGTCACTCTGCTTTTTACTATCTCTCTCAATAATTAATGGCTAATTAAATTTATTAAACTAGAGCTAACTAGAGCTACTTTAAGCAGACTGTTAAGCAGTTTGTGGTCATGTTGCATGGCCTTTAGTTGTCTACATTGAACGTTTGAAGATGGTATGTTCAGAGAAAAGAAGGAAGTCGGTCAGTCACCATCAGTAATGTTTAGGGTTGTCTACTAGGATAACATATGCTATTGTAGGCAAAGTAAAGTACTGTAGTAAAGTAAAAAGTTTTACTTTTTATGAATTAGGTCAGCAAGCTTCTTCAGAGCAATCTGTATCCCGAATCAGTCCAAGTAAGTTTCAGCCCTTTACCCAACCACCACACCCTCAGTAACATCCAGACCATAGTAGCGTGACCTTTACCCGACCACCACACGCTCAGTAACATCCAGACCATAGTAGCGTGACCTTAACTTGACCACCACACTCTCAGTAACATCCAGACCACAGTCGCATGTTTCATTTTTTAAATTAGTTAACATGAAGGCATCAAATGCATGTTAGACAGCAGGATAGTCTAGTATGCTATGTATCTGAAATCACTGTCAGTCACTTTGGATGTAAGAATCCACTAAAGGACTAGTCGCAGTAATGATAGTCTATTTCCTCTGCAGAGGTGAAAAGGGTGCAGGAATACGCAGGTAAATACACACACACACATAAACACACAAACAATCTAAATCGAAACCATTTGGCTTGCATAGCACTATTCCAATCTATGTTTACCCTCCTTTGTCAGAGAATGTCACCTTCGACCCCAACACAGCCCACCCACGGCTGATCATCTCAGTGGATGGGAAGCAGGTGTGTTGTGGGGATCGGCACCATCCTGTACTGGACACGCCTGAGCGCTTTGACCGCGTGGTGTGTGTTCTCGCACGCCAGGGCTTCACCTCGGGGCGACACTACTGGGAGGTGGGTACTCTCTCCGCTCACCACCACTCTGCCCACCCTCTTACTGTGCTGAAATACTTATGTTTGTATTTTTAACTGTGTTGTCTGTATGTATGCATATATGTACCATAGGACATACGTGTGTTGAAGTGTAGTTGCTCTAATTTTGCATCGTCATTTTAGATGTGTCTGTCTGTCTGTCTGTCTGTCTGTCTGAACTACATTAACCCAGCCTCTTTGTCACTCAGGTGAAGGTTGGGGACAAGACAGACTGGGACTTGGGCGTGGCCAGCCACTCCATCAACCGAAAGGGTAAGATCACGGTGAGTCCTGCCCACGGCTACTGGTTCCTGAGTCTCCGTGACCGGAAGGACTACGCCTTCCGCGCGGAGCCCGCTATCCCCCTGTCGCTCAGCCTCAGACCCTCACGCATCGGGATCTTCGTGGACTGCGATAAAGGAAAATTGTCTTTTTACGATGTGGAGGCTAAGGTGCTCATCTATACATTTGTGGATAGTTTTGTTGGTGCGATCCACCCCTTCTTCAGCCCGTGCACAAATAAATCAGGTCAAAATGGCACAGCGCTCATTATCTGCCCTGTCGCCACCACAGTGTAGATTAAACTCTGTGTTCAACGTTAAAGAAAATGTGCCACTGGGTCTGAAACATACCGGCCCCAAGACCATTTTTATTGGCCCTCACTCAAAGTTCTTCACCTTCTACACTCAAGTGAATCACACAAGTGATATTTTTGTTTACCTGCCGTCACAATACTATGGCGCTTGGTGCCAAATAACAAACACTTGAATTTTATAATGCAAATATAAATATATATTTTTTCATATGCATCACTTTTTTTTGCACTGGCCGGATACACTGGACAGTGAGCTGAAAGTTTTTATGTCCCACCCTGACTTTTTGTTGGCCCTGGGCCATTGAACCCTGATAACTGCTTTTGTTATTATGCTGACCTGGTATCCTGTCAACAGTATATGTATGAATGTGTTAGTACACGTGTTGAAATATTCCTGTTTGTACATTTACAGCTTAGTTATTCCTGGATTGATTGCCTTGTGTGGACAACTGAAACAAGGGACAAGGTCTATCTCCTTTCCTCTGCAAAATCATTTATTAACATAGCTTCTGGATAAACTATTATGTTTCTGGCATATTTATAAATATTAAAGCAGGAACACCGTATGTTGTTTTTGCATAGGGTATGATATAGTGTAGGGCTGTCAATCCTCTATAACCACATTCGAATTTCATTCCTTATTTTTAATACAAATTGTATTTTTAATGCTCAAATGTAGGCCATTATTAATATGTATTATACCTGACACAGGCTTATGCATTGCCAATGCCATGATCAGCATGTTGTTATACATTCTGTCCACTAGAGGGCATTCCCAACATTACCAATAAACATTTTGAATTACCAACTGGTGATGGCTAACGGGGAGTGTTGGGAGGAGGAGGGAGTCAAAAAAGAGGTAATTCTTGCCTGCTGGGAAGGGAGTTATCATGTTGCATCTCAATTTCCATGATCAAAAAAACTGTTCATGATGATCATGATGTGGCATTTGTTTGGATCTGTACCAAACAAATGTTTTCATGTTTTCTTACATCTGGAGAAAACATGTGTAGGCCAGGTCATCTCTGCAACAGTTCTTTATTTATAATACATTGTTATACATTTACATATACACATTTGATTTTACCCATATCAAAAAAATTGCAGCTTCTGTGATTTGGATATTACACTTGGCC